TGGGGATGAGTCCCAGACAACCCCCAGGTTGTAGGGGGGACATTCCTTCTTTGGCAAGATTCTAAGAAAGTTCTTTGGAAGAGTCTTTTTTTTAATGACTGGAAAGTCTCTTTTGGTAAAACATCTTGGCTTTAGAAGGAATCTTTGAAAGGCACCTGTCCTGGCAGAAGGACATGGCATAACACTGACCCACTTCCAATGGAGCCAATTGTCCCTTTCCTCTGGAGTGGCTGAGAGAAAGCTCACCAGACACGGAGGCCTACCCCAGCAAGGCTGTTCTCAACCACCGCTCTAGCACAGAAGAAGAAGATATGATTCCATCAGTCGCTGGAAGGAAGCCCTCGTTCAGAAGTAGGCTTCCTATAGGAGGAATTTGGATCTCAGAAGAGGTGGAAGATCTCCTTGCCTGGACAGTCTGTAATTCTAGGTGCTCCTCACTTGGCAAAATAGCCTTGCTTTTCCTGGGTGGTCGCCTCAGCAGATCAGAAACTAGACCCATCTTCATCCCTATGGAATCTCTCCATGTCTGGCGCAGAGCTAGGCACAAGACACTGCTTAGCCACACGCTCCTTCCTGAATCCACTGGCCAAGTATGAATTCAGAGTGTTAGGAAAGGTCTGGGGCCAACAGGGAAAGAAAATGGACAACCATGATGACAGCAAATGGATATGAAATTCGCCCCTCTGTTCCACAGTCTAGTAGGAGACACAAAGTGTTCTCCAACAGAACAACTTCTATCCGTGAACGGAGCTGAGGACAATGAAGGAATGCACTAGGTGTGGTGGCTGAAGATATTCAGGGTTGGGGGGTAAGGCGATGACATTTAAAGCTCACACCTGAAGGCTGGAGGAAGCCTTGGGGGAAGAGCTAAGTGGAGAATAAACCAAGGGGAAGGAGTCTGGTGGGGCCCTGCCCGCCGCCCAGGGGAAAAGGACTCAGAGGCAGCGAGAGCCCCAGCAACGAGGCCTGCTTCCCTTCCCTCTCAGCGCCAGGCACCATGCGAACAACCCACGGGCCAGGGTACACCCCCCCCACCCCCCTCTTTACTGTGGGGGAAACTAAGGCTCAGGATAGGCAGGTAACTTGCCACTGCCTCATGGCGATTAAGCAGTAGAAGCAGGCTTCTAACTCGGTTGAACACGTGTGAGACTGGAAAGACCAAGTCCTTCCTATTGTCTACCCTTCTGTCTGGACTTTGACCTTGCTTGGGAGCCTTCAGCTTGGGAGCCCTGAGAGCCAGGGGCAAGGCCCCCGAGCTGGGAAGCAGCTTCGCGAGTTACCTCCAACAGAAGACTCGCCTGGTCTCAGGTGAGCACGCACTTGTCAGGAAGCCCACATCTGGATCCCCGATGTGGAAGCCATCTCTCCACTCCCCTTCAAAGACCCACAACAAACTAACTGCTTCTAAACCATCCCTGCAAGGGACGCCCTTTATCCACTGGGGGTGGCCGCAGCGGTCACTGCGGATGGAGCCACAAGATTGGCAAGAGGTCCCCCTGCCCCCACCCCTCCGGTGGCTGTGTGCATGGCTGGCCAGCAGGAAGGACTGAGGCTGGTCAGTGGAGACAGAGGGAAAGTTTGAGGCTTCCACCCCTAAGCTTCCTGGTCTGGGGCCAGCCCCATCTCCATACCTCAGAGGAGGATGAGGCTGGAGGGGCAGGTCTAACCTGCTGTCACCCCACGAGAGTCCCTTGTGCGAATTCTCCCCCACCCTACCCCTCCCACAGTGCTGGGTCATCACAAGTTGCTGCTTCAACCCAGTCTTGCTCGGGTCTTGAGCTAGCCCCAGTCTAGGAGGGTCCTGTTCCAACTACGAAGTTGGACCAGAGTCAGAAGGTTGCTGAGCCAGAAGCAACTTTCCTGATGCCTGTCCCAGCCCTCTTACCCACGCCTGCCATGCTCTCCGGTGTGGTCCTGCCCCTCAGCCTGTACTGACGTGGACGTTGAGAGAGGTCCATATGCCATGGGATATTTGTTCTATCCGACTCACTCATGTGTGTGTGTGTCCTGGGGCTTGAACTCACGGCCTGGGTGCCGTCCCTGAGTTTTGCTCAAGGCTAAAACTCTATCACTTGAGTCACAGCTCCACTTCTGGCCTTTTGGTGCTTAATGGAGATAAGAGTCTCTTGAACTTTTCTACCCTGGCTGGCTTCAAACCTTGATCTTCAGATCTCAGCTTCCTGAGTTGTTAGAATTATAGGCACGAACCACTGGTGCTCCTCTTAATTTTTTTTTTTTAAAGCAGAAACAAAACCACAAGTCAGCAGCTTTTCTGGTGTCCTAGACAGAGTACACTGCTTTTATTGTTTTGGCAACCCTGGTGTTTGAACTTTAGGCAGGAGTGGCTTTACCACTTGAGCCATGCCTCTAGCCCTGCTTGTCTGCTGGTTGTTTTGAAGATGAAAACCAGTGAATTTTTCTGCTCTGCCTAGCCTTCAACTGCAATCTTCCAGAGCTCAGTTTCCTGAGTAGCTAGGATTCTAGGTGTGAGCCATCCATATCTGGCTTAAAAAAGACACTAAATACCTAAAAAGAAAACACATCAAGAGAAGTGAAGTTATTCAGGCAAGACCAACTCTTAAAGCAACTGGTGGTGCTAGCACTGGATTTCTACATGGGAATCTTCATGCAAAGGGAGCTTTTGGCTTTGCCAACATCTGGCCTTCATTGGCATTCTGGATTCTTCTCAGGAAGATGGCAGCAGGCAGTGGCTGATCTGCTAAGCTTTTGGAGCTGCTGATCCACATATTGCTTCCTCCTTCCTTCAATCCCTCCCTTCCTCCCTCCCTTCCTCCCTCCCTTCCTTTCTTTCTTTCTTTCTTTCTTCCTTCCTTCCTTCCTTTCTTTCTTTTTCTTTTCTTTCCTTCCTTCCTTCCTTTCTTCCTTCTTCCCCCCTCCCTCCCTCCCTTCTTTCTTCCTTTCTTTTTCCTTCCTTCCTTCCTTCCTTCCTTCCTTCCTTCCTTCCTTCCATCCTTCTTTCCTTCTTCCCTTCCTCCCTCCCTTCTTTCTTCCTTTCTTTTTCCTTCCTTCCTTCCTTCCTGTCTCTCTCTCTCTCTTTGTGTGTGCCAGTTCTGGGGCTTGGACTCGGGCCATAGGCACTACCCCTTAACTTTGTTACTCAAAGGTGGCATTCTACCATTTGAGACATACCTCCACTTCTAGCTTTTTTTTTTTTTTTTTTTTTTTGCTGGTTAATTGGAGATAAGAGTCTCATGGACTTGTCTGCCTGGGCTGGCTTCGAATTGGAGGTCCTTAGATCTCAGCTACCAGAGGAGCTAAGATTAAAGACATGTCTGTAATGGGTGCCTGGCTAAGATGGCTTCTAAGCAGGGCAGGTCTCTGGTGGAGTTGGATTCCCGGCGATGAATAGGTCAGTGCAACTTTGCTGATCCTGGCTGGAGTTTTCCTATGTGATAATTGCTACTCCACAGGATTTCTAAAGGTGCAAATGAGATTTTTAAAAAAAGTAGGGAAGGGCTAGCATGCAATAGACTATGTTTACATGGTTTACATTAAGCAGCCACTAGAGTAGTTAAGGTAGTAAATCCCAGAATCTGGGTGTGGTGGCTCTAGCCTGCAATCCCAGCTTTTTTGGGCAGCAGAGGTTGGGAGATCAGCCCAGGCAAAAAGAAGTTTTGAAACTGCATCTCAGCCAATGGCCGAGAGCTGGTGTCTATCATCACCAGCCGCACCCGGCGGCCTGCACTCAATTCAAAGGCTGCCAGGGTTGGTTTCTTTCCCTCCCTTTCTGCCTCTAACTAGTGTGGCTCAAGCAGCAGAGGTCCTGCCCAGCAAGGATGAGGCCCCGCGTTTAACCTTCAGTGCTGCCCTCCACCAAAATAAAAGACTGGTCCCACTGGCGTGCAATGTGGAGTGAGTCTTTTCATCCCTTGGGTGAAACTCTGGTTTCCTCTCCCATGCACTGTTTCTTTTATTTCTGTATCTCTTAAGGAATTGGTATTCATAGAGGCTGAGCAGGGGGACTGCTGAGCTGGACGCGGAGCTTGATGGAGAGAGAGCAGTGAGAAGTGGAACACAGCTCCCGTCTCAAGAAAGTGCGGGCGTCAGCCAGTCAGAGCTCTGATGTCATAGTTGCCAGCTCCTCCCGGGCTGTCTCCCTTCTGGGAAGATCAGCGTCCTTTTAGTTAAAAAAAAAATTCAGTGCCTATACTCTGTCCTTTAGCCTTTTTGCTCAAGGCTAGCACTCTGCCACTTGGGCTATATCTTCAATTCTGGCTTTTTGCTGGTTAATTGGAGATTAAGAGTCCCATGGACTTCCCTGCATGGGCTGGCTTTGAACTGTGATCTCAACCTCCTGGGCAGCTAGAATAACAGGCGTGGGCCAGTGGCTAAGGATTGTCTTTCTCTTGGTTCAGGATCCTTCTTAAGCCCAGAAATTTAGCCTGTCTGGTGGGGGAGCGGGAGCGGTGAGTGCAGATGTCAGCAATCTGTGGACACCGGCCAGATTGGGGATCTAGGTAGGTAGATTCTAGACCGATAGCCCAGATTTACCCTCTTCCTCCCTCCCTCCCTCCCTCTCTCTCCACACACACACACACATGCACGCACGCACACACACTGTCTCTCTCACACACATATCAGGAAACAGGCAGACACTCTGAAGGGGGTCCAAAGGCAAAGACTGTCCTCTTACAATTTCCTTTCTGTCATTTATCCAACTCATGAGTGATGAAAACACGCACACATGCAAGCTGGACTTGTGGGCGAGTCCCAGTGCGTGCTGTGTGTGCAGGGTGGTGGGAGGAGGAATGAGCAACTAGGAAGTGCGCTGGTGTTTATATTGCAGTGTGCACTGTTTAAATCACCCACTGGGAATAGGTGTCTGTGCGATTATCCTTAATCCATGCTCATTCAAAGGGTGTCAGCGCCGCTTTTGTTCCCTCCCCTCCCACCTCTCCATTCATACAAACACCGCTGCCTCCAACTAGCCTTTGCCCACTCCATTCCCCGAGCAAGAGAGTGTACACAAGTCGTGGAGAATGAGCATGCTTTCCTCTGAAGCTGTGTGTCTCTGTCTGTCTGGCACCGCAGTGCTGGGTTGCTTAGTGCTTTGCAAATGCAAGTGTTCAAGGCCTTTGCAGAGCTGGATGCTGTGCCTGGCCGGCGTCTGGGGAGGGGCTTGCCTGCTCAGCCTCCCCTTCTTCTGGAGTTTGATCCTCTTCTCCTTGTCCTGCTTTCTTCTGCACACCTGCACAGCTGACGAAGAGCTGCTACCCGCGGATGGAAAGGCCGTGCTGGTGACAGGTAAGCAGACAGGGCTACAGCGAGCCCACAGGACGGGATTTGCTCTTCTCTTTGCTTCAGCACGACTCTGTCAGGTTCGCCTTGAACATAAAAAAAAAAAAAAAAGTTAGCATGGAGAAAATGAAAGCATGTAGCCACAGCATTTCTTAGGGTATTGCCTTGATGTGATCTTTTTATTTTTATTTTTGGGTGGAGGGAGAGGACTGTCTGGGTAAGAGGCAAAGTATAAGGTAAGCTGCCAATTTCTTAGGAATAAATATGAATAGCACGTGTTTTATTACACCTGGGAGCACTCCACCCATGTCTTTAGGTTTAAGTGCAGCTTTGATGTGAGATTCAATGTCTGATCGGATTCTCAATCTGGCCATCTCCTGTAGGTCTAAAAGAAAGCTCGCAGGACCCAGTCTCTCTGTGCCTCTCTGGGTCTCTGGGTCTCATCTGTGCGGCAGCCTTTGCCTGCTGGCCACAAGGAGCCTGTGCCCTGTCGGAACCTTTTCTGTCCAAGTGTTGTCCTGACATATTACTCTTAATTAGATCAAGTTGTCAGCGTGGCCAGCAATTGAGTTGCTCATTAGCTGAGCTGCCAATTTTTTTTTCTCCCTTCTTTTGTGTTTCATTCCACGGAAAGTGTGAAGCCAAATTAAATTCCTTTGAGTTGTAAAACAGGTTTGTTTAGTTGAGGAGTTTGAACTTGGAGAGGGCTTTAATGAGAATTACACAGAGTTGTCATAACCCAGAATGGTCTGGTGAGATGATGAATTTCAGACTTCAGCAGAATCTTTTGCTGGGAGGTTTTCCCGCTTTTGACCGTGACCTTGGGGAATGAAGGAGGCATTAGGTGTGGTTGGAAGAAAATCAGGAATCGTGACAATTCACAGAGAAAGATGATTTTTGTATGTTTTTGACCTTTTTGCTCTAATCCAATAACAAAATTCTTTCATGAAATGAAATACAAGTTGGTGCTTGCTGGAGTTTTGAAAAGCTGCAGATGATGAGCTCCTTTAAATTAAAAAAAAAAAAAAGTAGACAATTCAATCCCTGGGACATTTATCTGCATGAATAGCTGGTTTCATGCACCTGGATTCTTGCTTCTGGGAGCTTGGCTGGGTCTTTTACGGGGTCCCTACAATCCTGATGACCTCCCAGAGCATCTGGAGTGCAGATATAATGGATGTGTGTGGCCGGTAGCAAGCACCACACAAGAATTTCAGAGTCTTTCTAGGTCAGACTCAGTTTTTGTACTTTTTCAGTAGCATGGAAGAAAACAGAACAATTCAGCATTTCTCCAAAAAGAAAATTAGCCATGCCATGATGGAGACTCGGGGTCTCCCGGAGGTCTGGTTACTCTTAGAAAACCAATTCCAGGGCTCAGCACTTCTATAGCTAATTAATGAGCATACTTAATCCCAGGATAAACTCAGGCAAACCTTGGGGTTTGCAGGAATCCACACTTGCTTGTTTATCTCCTCAGTGCTTTTCACCCTCTGTGCTTGAAGCTGGAACGATGTATTTAGACTTATAAAATATACATCCAGCTCAGAGAACCCACGCAGTCTTTGTGACTTTTGACTGTGTCTAAAATCTAAGATAACCGACTTAGTTAGGCAACTCAAGCCCTGTGACTAATCCTGAAATGAAATGCTTAGCAATTAAAAGCACTGAGAATGAAGACAAGAAGTACAAATAGTTGAGGGTGACTGGAATGTTACCCCTAGGTTTTGCTGTCATCTTCACCCTGGAAAACAAGGCTCAATGTTCTCCTGAAGTTTCCAGACCTTTGTGAATAAACTCCTTCAATGAGACTAGAAACTTGTTTAAAACAAGAAACAAGCAGAAAAGAGAAGAAACCACTTGGAATTTGGAAAGCTTCCTTTCCTTTTGGCATGTGCTACATACATTGGTACACATTTTGGTAGGGCAAGGGTAGGCAAATAAACATGAACGTGCATATAAAAAGTGAGTCTTGCCAAGTGCTGGTAGTTCATGCCTGTAATCCCCAGCTACTCAGGAGACTAAGATCTGAGGATCATGATTCAAAGCCAGGCTGGGCTGGAAAGTCTGTGTGACTCTCATGTCCAATTAACCACCAGATAGCCAGAAGTGAAGCTGTAGTTCAAGTGGTAGAGTGCTAGCCTTGAGCAAAAAAGCTCAGGGACAGCGCCCGAGCTGTGAGTTCAAGCCCCAGGACCAGGGAACACTCATACCCATTGTGCAAATTGCTAGGAGGTTAAGGGAAGAGTTTGGAAACAGATAAACAAAAGGAAGGAAATTGTTTATAAAGGAAGTAGCTTGTGAATAATTGAAGCAGAATACGTGGATGTTTTTCTGCCCCTTGATTTCTATTTTCTGCAATGTCATTGTATAATTTATATCATACACACACTTAAAAGAGAGTTAAAATTTAATGGATTGAGTTGGTTTTAGTTTCTATTTAACCATGGACTCAGGTGAAGGACAATTTATAAATATAAGTAAAAAAAAACAAAACCAACTCAACTTTTGTCCTTTGAGTCTTTTTTTCATTTTGCGAAGGTGTTCAAAGCTCGTTTGCCTCCAAGACAATATAATTATAGTATTCATGTGCAGAGTGTTTGAACATGTGTTTGTCTCCAAGGTTCTGGAGGCTAAAGTGGCTGTTTGATACATTAAAAAAAAAAAAAAAAAAAGACTGCGAAATTAATTGGCATGATCGCACAAAACATTTCAAGCTTAATACCAAGAGAAAAGCCTTGATAGTCTGGCAGGTGTGGGTTTGGATCTCAAATGTTCCCTGCCTAGGGTGTGTGTGGGGTCCCCCGAGGCTGAATGAGATCAAGACTGGGGTGACAGAGATGTATTAGGAGGGTTTCCCAGCCAAATGGACAGGGAACGGGGAGGCCAAGTAAGGACCGCAGGGAAGTCTTTGGGGGGTCACCTGGGCAGATGAGGTGGCCCTGATTGGGAGGTAAGGGGTATAATCTTGAGGACATTGCATCTGTCAATCATCAATCATCAGTTAAGGGCATCACAGCTGTCAATCATTAGTTAAGGTCAGCCTCATCCCCTTTCTATGCCCCCTGGTGGTGGGAGGGAGGAGAGGACCCTCAGCCTCCATAAACACTTCAGCCTCCCTCTGGGATCACTGGTGGTGGTTTCAGAGATTAAGTGGGTGGATCTCCAAGGGTCAATGCACAGAAAAGATGGTCGAGGGATCCAGGAACCATCTCTGTGTACCTAACGCTAGCCGTACTCAGGTCGTTGGTACTCAGCTTGGAGCTTTTTTTTTTTTTTTTTTTTTTTGTCGGTCGTGGGGCTTGAACTCTGGGCCTGGGCGCTGTCCCTCAGCTCTTCAGCTCAAGGCGAGCGCTCTACCACTTGAGCCACAGAGCCACTTCCAAGCTTGGAGCCTTTAGGTTTGTTTTCTCCTCTGTACACTGGAGGTGGCATTGGCAGTAAACACTAACTGGGGATGCAGTATGTGCCACTTACCTTCTAGAAGCAATAGGAGCAAGTGGTCGAATCAGAAGCTCTCCTATTGCTTTCCTAGGACTCATGTTCACTGGGGCTGGACCTCCTTTATCTGAGATTACATAGGATCCGTCCTTCTCGCCCCCCTCTAAACATTTTGGGAGGGGCGCAGCCCACTGTACTTTTCCACTCACTCTGGCCCTCCGGGGCTTTCTCAACTGTGGTGTGATAACTGCTGATTTGTTGGCCACAAAGCTGGAAACTTCAAAATTCAGCGGGGAGGACACTCCTGACTCAGGCCGTGTGTGCATTGTGGGGGGGGGGCGCAGGAGGCACTGGGGGTGAGGGAGAGACTCTTTCACTGCTTTCCAGCCAAAGTGGGGGTGCTGGGAGAAGGGTCTCCTTAAAAATTAGTTTTCTAGAAAAAAAAAATAAGAGGAAGGCATTCCAGGCTTTTCAGTTAAGCATCTACCATGCCACACCTAGCTCATGACATCAGGGACTTTTTAATGGAAAATTTCACATCAAGATACAACTGATACAGAAAAGCAAAGTGTTTTTTGTTGTTGTTGTTGGTCATGGGGCTTGAACTCTGGGCCTGGGCACTGCCCTTCAGCTCTTCAGCTCAAGGCATGTGCTCTACTTGAGCCACAGCACCACTTCTGGTTTTTGGAGTGGTTTATTGGAGATAAGAGTTGCATGGACTTTCCTGCCTGGGCTGGCTTTGAACTATGATCCTCAGATCTCAGCCTCCTGAGTATCTAGGATGACAGGCGTGAGCCACCACACCAGGCAGAAATGGAAAACGCTTTAAGTAAAGGTCTTTTATTTATTATGCTCTCAATGAGGAGTAAAAGGAGGATAGCGACTCCTGAGAATCATTCCATAGTCCTTTCAAGGTCTAGGAGTTGGGATGCCTCTGGCATCATCTTGAGATTTGAACTCCTTTGCCTACAACATTAGAGTAGTAAATGAATTGACATTGACAGTAGACTAAGAGAAATAACCTCTCTGTGCTTAGCATGTGTGTGTGTGTGTGTGTGTGTGTGTGTGTGTGTGTGTGTGTGTGTGTGGCTGGTGACCAAGTCAGGGTCTCTCATTGAGAAACACCAACCCCTTTCCATGCATTTCACATGTGGTTCTCACAACCTTGATAGTTTCCCATTTTGTGAACTGATGGATGTGACCTACTAGGTAGCAGAGATGAGATGCCCCTGACACCCGAAGCCGTCCTTCTAACCATCAGCAGCAGCAACGTTGTAGCTGCAGTCAGTACTGGACCACAAAGTCTCCCAAGATAACATGTCTCTACTCAGTCGGCAAGGATGTACTGGGCATCTGTCTGGTGCAGCCTTGGGCAAGTGGCTGGATATAAGGGAGGCATACTAGGAGCAATGAAAGGAGGGCATCATGGCCAGGAATAGGGCCTCGTGAAGAGGTTGATGATTTGAGAGATGCCATACGCTAGATTTGACCTCAGAATTGCATTCGAAAGCCACGGAAGGTGATTCAAGTAGACTGTCATTTGTAGTTGGAAATACGGAAGTAAAAAT